CTGGAGAGCAGAGTGAAGCACATTCACATCAGGTACTTTCTTCTGCGAGAGTTGCAGAGGCGTGGACAGGCTCGCTTCGAGTTCGTAGAGTCCGAGGCCAACACTGCAGACATCTTCACCAAGGCGCTTCCGCCTTGTGACCACCAGAGGTGTTGTGTGCAGTTAGGCCTTGTTGACACAGGTTCTAGTCATGCGTAGACTTGAGTTTATTGCCTGCTTCGTCTGTACATTTACTATATATACTTGTGATCTCTTGGACTGGCCTTGTGGCCACTGTTGCTTGTGCTCAGAGTGTGTGGTGACGTTGTGATCCACCCTGAGCTTTGTTTTCTTTTGGACTGGTCTTGTGACCGTACTCTTTTTGTTTTTGCTAGACACCCCTCACTTAGGCTATGGGGGTGTGTCAAATGTTGTAGCCTGTAGTGAGGTTTGTCTTAGGGGGTACAGAAGTTAGGGTTTGTCATATGTACCCCAACCAACATCAATGCAACACTCATTCCTCATTCTGACACCACCTTGCGCTGGTGTGTGAGGGCAAGATTGATTGATTATACAGAAGTAATACAAGCTTTTATAAGATTACAAGGAATATGAAAGGATGCAATAACTGTTTTACTGTTGCTGTTGCGGTTCGATACAGTGACGACTCGGGCAACTGCTCAATACCGAGTCAGTTGTTTGTCCTTGTTGTCGCGCCCGTATTTGTCAAATCAAAGGTCACTGACCTTTGACCTTCGCGTAACCTCCGGCTGTTACTTTTTTGTCAACCTCTTCAGTTAACTCGCCATTGCTGCGCTGTAGTTCGCCTCATTTACAATCTTGATGTTATGACGCATAAAGAAGCATTAATTGTCGGAAACAATCGATCTTAAGCGCCTCTGTCGTGTCGAAACATTAAAGCACAAACGAAGCGAAGCATATCAAAGCACCGGCGAGGCAACCCTCGGAGGTTGAAAATAACTGTTGGAGGTTACGCGAAAGTCAAAGGTCAGCGACCTTTGACCTCACAAAATGCAGCGCGACAGCAAGGACACACAACTGACTCGCCACAGAGCAGTTGCCCGAGTCGTCACTGTATCGAACCGCAACAGCAACAGTAAAACAGTTATAACTGTACCCCTTCATATTCCTTGTACTCTTATATAATCTTGTATCCCTTTGCTCTAATCAATCCACTTTGCCCTCACATACTAGCGCAAGGTGGTTCAACCACTTCATTAAAAGCTTCCGCTGTTACATTATCCCTACCCAGAATTCACCCTTGTAAAGATCCTAAGGGCTATTTTCTCAGCCCAACATTAATTACTTGTTTCCAATCCAACACCTGTATAAGGGTTGGTTGTACGATGGTGGGTCAAGCGAAAGTTTTGTACGCTTCGCTGGGAAATCCGTACAGTACAGGGTTATGAATTAGGCACCCTTGATGATGCAAGATCTTATTTCACTGAGAAAATGGGTTATGTTTTAGTGCTTACGGTACTTATTTTTCATGTCACATAGGTACATTTACTAGATATATCACCAGCAACCATGCCCTTCGAATCCCCACTCGTTCACATCTTCTCCTTGAGTAGCCTTTCCACATCTATCGATTTTAACGCCTTGTACTTCCCCACTCCCAAGTCTCTCGGCAACCGCAGCGATCCAATCCTAACTCTCTTCAACCCTAGCACCTCCAGACCAGCAGCTTCGGCAAGCCTCCGAACCTCCCTGTTCCTCCCCTCGGCCACCACCACCGGCACCCGTTCCCTCCCCTTCCCTCCGCTTCCTCCTCCTCCTTTATTGTCACTATCCGTTACAAGGTCGAGGGCTACGGGTGTGCAGAGCACACCATCAACATCCGTCCCTGCTGCCATGGTTGCCAGCTGGCGCTTGGTGACTGGCCCCTGAACCGTGAGAACGTACCTGCACAAAACCAGGAGCAGCGTTTAAATGAACAAGTTAATCCAGTAAAAAAAAGGAGGGGGTGCTGGGGAGATGACAAAAGGAGTCACAAGGTATGAAGACAAGAAGGTCTGTGCAGGCACAATGCAAGGGACAAGGGACAAGGGACAAGGGGCAAGGGGCAAGGGGCAAGGGGCAAGGGGCAAGGGACAAGGGGCAAGGGACAAGGGGCAAAGGGCAAGGGGCAAGGGGCAAGGGGCAAGGGACAAGGGGCAAGGGACAAGGGAAAAGGGGCAAGGGAAAAGGGAAAAGGGGCAAGGGACAAGAGGACGGATAGAGATGTGCTGAGGTGATCAGAATTAGGAATATGAGAGAGAGGGGTTAAATGCAGGGATAGGATCTGTGGGAGACGCGAGGGAGGGGAGGGGAGGGGAGGGGAGGGGAAAGGAGGGGAGGGGAGGGGAGGGGAGGGGGTGGGATGGGGAGGAGAGCGAGCGGAGGGGAGGGAGGGGAGGGAGGGGAGGGGAGGGGAGGGGAGGGGAGGGGAGGGGAGGGGAGGGGAGGAGAGGGGAGGGGAGGGGAAAGGAGGGGAGGGGAGGGGAGGGGAGGGGAGGGGAGGGGAAAGGAGGGGAGGGGAGGGGAGGAGATGGGAGGGGAGGGGAGGGGAGGGGAGGGGATGGGAGGAGAGCGAGCGGAGGGGAGGGAGGGGAGGGGATGGGAGGAATTGAAGGCAGGCTGGAAAAAAGAGGAGGGAACCAGGAGAAAGGTGGGAAAGAAGGGCAGGATTATGTTGGTATGGGCGGATTGTGTGCATTGAAAGCAATACACACATAGAGAAAACGAAAAGAGAGAAACCCGAAGCCCCCAAACGCACTCTTTGGTAAGTCCAGCTGAGGGATGTGCGATCTGCTGCGCGAAATTCCCGTCGTTGGTAACCAGCAGCAGCCCTGTTGTCTGCACGTCCAGCCTCCCCACAGTGAACAGCCGTGGCCTGGGGATTCCCGGATTTCTCTTCTCCCAAACCTTCAAATATTCCTCCACCAGACTAATCGCCGTCTTCTCGATACCGCCACCGCCGCCGCCGCTGCCGCCGCTGCTGCTGTCGCTCGACTCATCCCTAAACCCTGAACCCTCAACCCTCTCAGGTCTACTTTTCCCTCCGCTGCTTCTCTCGCGGCCAGAGGGTTTAGGCGACTGAGGGGAGAAGGAACGTGACGAGGAAACTTCCTGCTGGGGAGCGTTGGAGCAGATATACCCCTTGGGTTTATTGACCATAAAATAAAGCCTAGGCGGCGCCTTTCGCGGTAGCGACTTGCCGTCCACGTAAATTGAATCTTTCATGGGATCGACCGCGGTTTGCGGGACTGTACACGTGTTGCCGTTTACGGTTACCCGCCCAGCGAATATGATGTCTTCGCATGCGCGCCGCGACGCGATCCCCGCGGCGGCGAGGACTTTGCTCAAGCGCTGCCCGCGCTGCGCGGCTTCGCGCTCCGCGCTGCGGAAGCGCTCGTTGAAGAAGCGCCGCGCGGCCTTGGAGTAGCGCGGGGCGGAAGTCGGTCCGGCGGGCTTTTCCCGCGTGCGCGGCCTGCTGCTGGCAGAGGCGCTGCTGCTGCTGCTTCCGCTGCTGGCGCTGCTCTTGGTAGAGCTTGCGGAGGACTTGAGGGAAGAGACGGGGGAGGCGGGAGGGGAGGGAGGGGGGGGAGCGGAAGCGGAGTCGACTGGTGGTCGCTGTGTCGTAAGCGAGAGTTGCCCGGTTGGGGAGAATATAAGGAGCGGAACCGCAGGTCTGCCACTAACGGATCTGCTAACGGGAGTGTTGCTGCTATTGGTGCCTCCTCCTGTTCCGCTTCCGCTTCCGCTTCCGCTTCCGCCGCCGCTGGAGCCGTTGTTAGCAGAAGCAGTGGTGATCGATTTGATCGAGGTGGATGGTTGCCAGGTGTCCACGTGGCAGGGGATGGCACGTGGAGCCAATGAGATGGTGCCACGTTGGAAGGAGGATTGCGAGGAGCTGGCGAGAGAAGGAAGAGACGTGGAGAGTGACCTGAATGGAAGAATCTTACAACGAGGAACTCGATATAGAGTGGCACTTGGGTTCATGGCGAGGCGCCTCACGGCAGCGGCGGAGGACGCGGCGAGATGGTGCGACGCGGACTGCCATGAGCATGCCATGGCGCTGTTACGAGGCGACAATGGCGATAGCGAATTAGCGAATGACGAACTAGCGAATGGCGAATGGGGATCAGCGAACAACGGGTGACGAATGCAGCAAAAAGCGCGTGCAGCACTGGACTAAGCGAAATCGCGAATTCTGGTCCGCGCAAACCCTCACAGACCACGACTCACGAGAGTCGAGAAGTAATATTTGACGGTCAGACCCAAGAACTGCTATGTTGACATGAAGTATGGTGGGCAAAGTGACGAGAAAATAAGGGGAGTGATTTTGAGAAAACTTGGGAAGGAGGCGGCCTTCTTTGGTACAGGAAAGGCGATGGAGCAAGACACCAGCCAAGGCTTGTGCTTCGTTAAAGACTGCGACAATAGAGAGTTGTGTACAGCACTGTCTCTACATCCACTAATTAACATGTTTATTTTAGTGCTCAAGGTGAATACACCCTAAAGAAGTCTTTACGATAGAAAGACATTGATGACGAAAACATGGCACGGAACTAAAATAGTTATACGCACTAAAACATGTAATGGTACAGTACATTCATAATAAAGCACACACTTCTTCCACATCATGTCAATCCATATCCCAATATTTTTCTCTAGGCCAACACACCCAGCCCAGCACAGCAGCCTTTCCCTCAATCGAGCTCGTACCGGTACAAGTTAACACTCGTAGCATTTTCTCAAACAGTTGGTTAAAACCGTGGATGCACTCTCTCTCCTTTCCTTAGGGAAGCACCACATCCCCGTCGCCGCTCCCCATGTTAAGTTTAAACACCCCATTGCTTTCCATTTCCATCATAAATTACGTGCGTATTCTGGGAAAAGAGACGTCCTTTTCCCTTCATTATTGTGCCTGCAGCAAGGCCTGCGCTGCGGCCAGAACAGCCCCAGGACTTGCTCCTCCATACTGGGTCGGTACCGCAGCAGACCAACTGGCCCCCTCAGAAGTCCCACCGGTGCTTCCTTCCCACCCGCAGGGAATCTTGCAGCCGGAACAGCCTCACCACCAGATCCTCCATACTGGGCCGACACCTGGGATCATCCTGCATGCATTCCTTAGCCAACACATCAAGCATACGCACCACCATGCTCTTCACCATGCTCTTCACCATGCCCTTCACCATGCGCTTCACCGCACTGCACCACTCTCCACCGCAGCTGACCACCGCTGTCTGTCGGTACCACCCCTTACTGCGCCTGTAACGAGTCCTGCAGCCGGAACAGCCTGACCACTAAATCCTCCATGCTGGGTCGGCACCTGGGATCATCCTGCATGCATTCCTTAGCCAGCACATCAAGCATGCGCACCACCATGCGCCTCGTGGCACTGCCACACTCGGCGCTGCGAGCAAGGTCGTCAGTGTAGGGCTCGGCCCAGTCAAAGAGGGCCTCGGCGCCGTGCTGCTGCGCTGTGCTGTGTGCTCCCTGCCGGCCTGTGAGGAGAGAAAAGAGCACCACGCCAAAGTCAAACGCGTCCTTCCCCATGCCCTCCGCTCCTGATAGTAGTGGGGAGAGGGGGGTGGTGGGTGGGGATGAGGAGGAGGGGTCGGGGGGAAGGAGGAGAGAGAGAGGCAAGGTGGAAAGCCGTGAGCAGCGAGAAGAGCAGCACCCTAAATTCAAACGCGTCCTTCCCCATGCCCTCCGCTCCTGACGGCAGTTGGGAGGGGGATGTGGGAGAGGGATGTGGGAGGGGGGTGGGGGGAGCGTGGAGAATAGAGAGGTGGGACGGAAGGCAGGGGAGGAAGGATAGGAGCAGATGTGGAGGGGAGGAGAGGGGAGTAGGGGTGAGGAGGAAGAGAGGGGGTCAAGGTGGGAAGTCATCAGTGTAGATTTCAGCCCAGTCAAAGAACGCTTCTGCGGGAGGAGGGGGGGTTGGGGGGGAGGGGTGGGGTGGGGGAGGAGGATGGGGAGAATCAAAATGGAAGGGTGAGAGAGGGGTAGGATGAAAGGGGAGGGGAAGGAAAGAGGGATGAGTCGGAGGGGAGGGGCCCACAGCCGATCAGCAGAGGGATGAGTCGGAGGGGAGGGGCCCACAGCCGATCAGCAGAGGGATGAGTCGGAGAGGAGGGGCCCACAGCCGATCAGCAGAGGGATGAGTCGGAGGGGAGGGGCCCACAGCCGATCAGCAGAGGGATGAGTCGGAGGGGATGGGCCCACAGCCGATCAGCAGAGGGATGAGTCGGAGGGGAGGGGCCCACAGCCGATCAGCAGAGGGATGAGTCGGAGGGGAGGGGCCCACAGCCGATCAGCAGAGGGATGAGTCGGAGGGGAGGGGCCCACAGCCGATCAGCAGAGGGATGAGTCGGAGGGGAGGGGCCCACAGCCGATCAGCAGAGGGATGAGTCGGAGGGGAGGGGCCCACAGCCGATCAGCAGAGGGATGAGTCGGAGGGGAGGGGCCCACAGCCGATCAGCAGAGGGATGAGTCGGAGGGGAGGGGCCCACAGCCGATCAGCAGAGGGATGAGTCGGAGGGGAGGGGCCCACAGCCGATCAGCAGAGGGATGAGTCGGAGGGGAGGGGCCCACAGCCGATCAGCAGAGGGATGAGTCGGAGGGGAGGGGCCCACAGCCGATCAGCAGAGGGATGAGTCGGAGGGGAGGGGCCCACAGCCGATCAGCAGAGGGATGAGTCGGAGGGGAGGGGCCCACAGCCGATCAGCAGAGGGATGAGTCGGAGGGGAGGGGCCCACAGCCGATCAGCAGAGGGATGAGTCGGAGGGGAGGGGCCCACAGCCGATCAGCAGAGGGATGAGTCGGAGGGGAGGGGCCCACAGCCGATCAGCAGAGGGATGAGTCGGAGGGGAGGGGCCCACAGCCGATCAGCAGAGGGATGAGTCGGAGGGGAGGGGCCCACAGCCGATCAGCAGAGGGATGAGTCGGAGGGGAGGGGCCCACAGCCGATCAGCAGAGGGATGAGTCGGAGGGGAGGGGCCCACAGCCGATCAGCAGAGGGATGGGTCGGAGGGGAGGGGCCCACAGCCGATCAGCAGAGGGATGAGTCGGAGGGGAGGGGCCCACAGCCGATCAGCAGAGGGATGAGTCGGAGGGGAGGGGCCCACAGCCGATCAGCAGAGGGATGAGTCGGAGGGGAGGGGCCCACAGCCGATCAGCAGAGGGATGAGTCGGAGGGGAGGGGCCCACAGCCGATCAGCAGAGGGATGAGTCGGAGGGGAGGGGCCCACAGCCGATCAGCAGAGGGATGAGTCGGAGGGGAGGGGCCCACAGCCGATCAGCAGAGGGATGAGTCGGAGGGGAGGGGCCCACAGCCGATCAGCAGAGGGATGAGTCGGAGGGGAGGGGCCCACAGCCGATCAGCAGAGGGATGAGTCGGAGGGGAGGGGCCCACAGCCGATCAGCAGAGGGATGAGTCGGAGGGGAGGGGCCCACAGCCGATCAGCAGAGGGATGAGTCGGAGGGGAGGGGCCCACAGCCGATCAGCAGAGGGATGAGTCGGAGGGGAGGGGCCCACAGCCGATCAGCAGAGGGATGAGTCGGAGGGGAGGGGCCCACAGCCGATCAGCAGAGGGATGAGTCGGAGGGGAGGGGCCCACAGCCGATCAGCAGAGGGATGAGTCGGAGGGGAGGGACCCACAGCCGATCAGCAGAGGGATGAGTCGGAGGGGAGGGGCCCACAGCCGATCAGCAGAGGGATGAGTCGGAGGGGAGGGGCCCACAGCCGATCAGCAGAGGGATGAGTCGGAGGGGAGGGGCCCACAGCCGATCAGCAGAGGGATGGGTCGGAGGGGAGGGGCCCACAGCCGATCAGCAGAGGGATGAGTCGGAGGGGAGGGGCCCACAGCCGATCAGCAGAGGGATGAGTCGGAGGGGAGGGGCCCACAGCCGATCAGCAAAGGCATTTGAGTCGAGTCCCGGCAGCAGTTGCTGACCATGCCACACAAGGGCGGAGAGCAGTCGGCCTTGAGGGTCTTGTTGGGGCACCCTTTGGCCAGTAGTGCCGCCAGCCCGCCCGCCCATAGCCGGTCGGTCAACAGAGCCTTATGAGTTGTCTCAAAGTTCAACTCGTTACCATGTCACCCCGCAACCATGCCACACAAGGCCGGAGAGCACTCACCCTTAAGTATCTTCTTTGATGATCCTTTGGCCAGTATTGCCGCCAGCCCATAGCCCGTCAGCAGCGCTGTGTAGCTCTGTGGAGAGAAGGGGGGAATAGACAGAGCAAGCATGAGGGCATGGGGGTATGAGTGAGGCACATGGAATGTGGGAGACGTGGAATGTGAGACGTGGAATGTGAGCGACATGGAATTTGGGAGACTTGAAATTTGGGGTTGCCGTGAACCACTGACTTGTATGTGATGTGCCCTATGTACACTCCATACTCGTTACAAGCACACCACTCACTGAATCCAGCATCACATTGCAGCACATGAGGTTGCCGTGAACCACCGACTTGGAGTGCAGGTAGGCCAGCCCCTTGGCCACCCCTATCGCCACCTTCACTCGCACTCGCAGCGGCAGGAAGTCACCATCCACTCCCTCTGGATTGGAGTGACAGGGGGGAGGGAGAGAGGTGGAAGGGGAGGGTCAAAGGAGGGCAGCACATGATGAGGTTGCCGTGAACCACAGCCTTGGAGTGCAGGTAGGCTAGCCCCTTGGTCATGCCAATAGCCACCTTCACTCGCACTCGCAGCAGCAGGAAGTCACCATCCACTCCCTCTGGAGTCATTTGGGGGAGAAAGAGCCATCATTTGAGAGGGTCAGAAGAAGGAGAGGCGGGAATGGCCAGGGGTCGCTGTATTCACGTCAGCCCCTTGGCCACTCCTATCGCCACCTTCACTCTCACTCGTAGAGGCAGCAAGTCACCGTCCACTCCCTCTGGAATGATTATGAATGAGGGGAAGGGAGGAGAGAAGTGAGGAGGGAAGGGAGGAGGGAAGGGGGAGGGGAGAGAAGTGCTGATCGCCACCTTCACTCGCACTCGCAGCGGCAGGAAGTCACCGTCCACTCCCTCTGAGATGAGACCAAGTAATGAGGCAAGGGAAGTATAAGGGGAGAAAGGGGATAAAACAGACAGGATCAGCAGAGGCCAGTACCCGCTATTTCCCAGTATTTCTTGACAAGTGGTCAAGGCATTTCTCCAGACCAATCTTCAAATTGACTTTTGAGTCGACTCAAAAGTTTTCTTGAAAAGTGGTCAAGGCATTTCTCCAGACCGATCTTCAAATTGACTTTTGAGTCGACTCAAAAGTCTTCTTGAAAAGGGGCCAAGGCATTTCTCCAGACCGATCTTCAAATTGACTTTTGAGTCAACTCAAAAGTTTTCTTGAAAAGTGGTCAAGGTGATAGAATTCAAGAGTGGTTTGAATAATGAGCCATGGAGGCTCTATAGTACAAGCATGCAAGCAAGAGAGGGGTGAAGAAGGAGCAAACCCTATTGGCCACTAAGTTGGCCAACGGGGGAGATGCCTTGTGGAGTAGGTAACCCCACAATGTTGCTAGGTTGTGATTGGTAGGCCTTAGGACCAAAAGTTGGCAAGTGCCAACCAAGGACCAAGACCAAACCCAACCTTGACCAACCACAAAATGTGGTTGGAGTGTACACCCAACCCCCCAAGAACATAAAGAGCTACACCATTCTAGCCTATGTATGTTGAATATACGATACAGTTACAACACAACCCCCCAACAGGCATAAGGCTAGAAAATGGAATCAGGAGGCCGCCAAAACCGGAGGAGGGGTGAGGCCAATGAGGCGCAGAAGGAAGGAGTGGGACGTTTGGGGAAGGGCTTTGGTGAAGATGTCATCGAGGTTGGCCGCCGAGTCGATTTTGCCAAGGCGAAGATGGCCGGCCCCAACGAGTTCACGAATGAAAAAGTAGCGGAGCTCAATGTGTTTGGAGCGCCCATGATACACAGCATCCTTGGTGAGGTGGATGGTGTTGTAACTGTATCTTATATACAACATACATAGGCTAGAATGGTGTAGCTCTTTATGTTCTTGGGGGGTTGGGTGTACACTCCAACCACATTTTGTGGTTGGTCAAGGTTGGGTTTGGTCTTGGTCCTTGGTTGGCACTTGCCAACTTTTGGTCCTAAGGCCTACCAATCACAACCTAGCAACATTGTGGGGTTACCTACTCCACAAGGCATCTCCCCCATTGGCCAACTTAGTGGCCAATAGGGTTTGCTCCTTCTTCACCCCTCTCTTGCTTGCATGCTTGTACTATAGAGCCTCAATGGCTCATCATTCAACTACTCTTGAATTCTATCATGGTATTCAGAGCCAAATGGCTCACGCCACCTTCCCTCGATCCTCATGTTGTAATTCCCTCCCCGCTCCCTTACCCTAGCGGACTATGACCTACATCCGCCCACCCGCTCCTCAGATCTAGCCTCCCGCGGCTCAGTTCCGCCTCCCGCACCTCAGATCTAGCGTCCGCGGCGTAGATCTCCTCCTCCGCGGCCTCAATCCTCCCTCCCGCGGCCTCTATCCTCCCTCCCGCAGCCCCTATCCGCTCCCCCGTGGCAGCAATCCTTCCTCCCGCCGCCACGCCTCCATCTGCCCGCCGACGCGTCCGACCTCCGCGCCGACGCGGACGACCAGCGCGGCGACGCGGACGACCTGCGACCGCCGCGGACGGCCAGCGCGCGACCCCCGACGACCAGCGCGCTGCCGCGGACGGCCAGCGCGGCCCCGCCGACGGCCCGCGCGCTGACGCGGACGGCCAGCGCGGCCCCGCCGACGGCCCGCGCGCTGACGCGGACGGCCAGCGCGGCCCCGCCGACGACCCGCGCGCTGACGCGGACGGCCAGCGCGGCCCCGCCGACGACCCGTGCGCTGACGCGGACGGCCAGCGCGGCCCCGCCGACGACCCGCGCGCTGACGCGGACTGCCAGCGCGGCCCCGCCGACGAGCCGCGTGCTGACGCGGACAGCCAGCGCGCGGCCACGAAAGAACCGCGCGCCACCGCGGACGGCCAGCGCGCGGCCGTCGACGCCCCTGCGCCGACGTGGACGGCTGGCGCGCAGCCGCGGCTGATCTGCCCGCCGTCGCGTTCGCCTGCCCGCGATCTCCACGACCTCGAAACCCTAATTCCTCCCCGCACTTCCGCACCAGCCTCTCTTCCCCTCTACCTCCTCCCCCTACTCCACCCCTAACGGCACCAGCAGCAGCAGCAGCGGCATCGGCGGCAGCAGCAGCAGCGGCATCGGCGGCGGCAGCTGCAGCGGCATCGGCGGCGGCAGCTGCAGCGGCATCGGCGGCGGTAGCAGCAGCGGCATCGGCGGCGGCAGCAGCAGCGGCATCGGCGGCGGCAGCAGCAGCGGCGGCACCAATACCAACAGCAACAGCGGCGCCTTCACCCCTCCGCCGTCATGGCGTCATCCGACTCCTCGGTCGATCTAGCGACCATTGACGCCCTCGAGCTGCTCGGCGACAACTCGGCCGCCAATTGGCACTCCTATGCTCACTCCGTCGAGGTGTTGCTCTCCTCGGTCAATGTCAGTGGTTATACACTCCGTTCCGTCGTGTTCCAGGAGGAAGGCGGACTCCAGCCCATCGCCCCTTCTGCCCCCACCGGACCTCCTCCTGATGAGCCCGGACCTGAGCCCGAGTCCCCTGGTGATCCTCCCTCCTTCGCACCGGATGTCAACAATCCTCAAAGCGTAGAAACTGCCATCCGTGCCTACCGCAACACACTCAACGACCACCTTCGCCGTCAACTGCGCTATGAGGACGACAAGCGCGCCTACGACAAGGCTGCTGCCCGTCACCGCGACTACCTCGCCCAACTCACCACGTACACTGCATGCCTCACTAACTACACCTCCGACATCGCTGCGTGGCGCATGGCTGACCGTCGAGCTCTCGCCATCCTCCTCGCCACTATCCCCTCCTCCCTCAAGCGAGAACTCTCACCCACCTCCTCCTCCCACCTGTGGCAACTGCTTGTCGACCTCTTTGACCGGCAGGACATCGCCACCCTCTATGCCCTCATCAAGGAATTTGGATCCATCACCATGGATTCCACTGCCGGCGCAGCCGCCTTTACTCGCCGCGTCCTTGACCTTGCTCGCCGCCTTGCAGCACTTGGTGTTACTTACCCTGACACCGTCATCTGCTGCCACCTCCTCGAAGGCCTCACTCCTGCCTTCGATGCCCACAAGCTGGCCTACATGCAACTCCTCTCCAAACATGACACTCCCGCTCAAGTTGCCCAGTGGATTATCACCACCGAGGCAGACATCCTTCGCCACTCCTCCTCCACTACCGCGGTAGCACAGCAGCGCAACGGCAAAGGCGGACGTGGAGGGGGGCGTGGAGGTGGGCGTGGAGGTGGTCGAGGCGGCTCTGGCGGTCGTGGTGGTGCGGGTCGTGGTGCAGCAGCGGCCTTCCCACCCTGTCAGTATCTTCCCCTTTATGGCCCCACCCGAGGCCAACGCTGCAACCAAACCACTCATGCAACTGAGACGCGCTTCAAGGCACTCAGCGATGAGTGGTTCGCTCGTGGGAACTCTGGCACCCCTCCTCGCTGGTCCTCCCTTAATCCCCGCCCCACTCCCCTCGACGTTCGCTCCTCTCCCCTCTACGCTCCTTCCTCCTCCTCCCAGGCCCACCAGGCCTTTGCTCTCCCCTCTCAGCAGCAGCAGCAGCAGCAGCAGCAGCAGCAGCAGAGTGTCCAGCAGCAGGGACCGCAGCAGTACGGGCAGCAGCTTCAGCAGCTCCAGCAGCAGCTTCAGCAACTCCAGCAGCAGCTCGACCTCCAGCCCCAGCTTCCTCTCCTCCCTCCTCCTCTTGTCCTCCAGCAGCAACCGTTTCCCGGCTGGACCGCTGGGAATGCAGCCTCTGCGGCCCACCTCTCCGGTCCCTCCCCTGCGCCGTCCACAGGTGGTAGTGTGACCCCCTTTCCCTCCTCTGGCTTTGTTGGTCTGCTTAGTCAGCCTCCCTCTGTTGCATCCCCTATGTATGCCCCTGCTACTAATGAAACTTCCATTCAGTACTCCGCCTCACCCTCCTCCACCCTTGAGTTCGTCTTGGATAGTGGAGCCACTGACAATGTCTTTCGCGATGCTGACAAACTCCATCCTCTCCCCACACCCACGTCCCTCCTCGGCGCTGACAGCAGCTTTTCCATCCCCTGTCACAACACGTCCACCCTTCCCTGTCCTCTCTTTCCCTCAGGTACCGTCACAGGTCTTCACATTCCCTCCCTTTGCACTAACCTCCTCTCCCAAAGGTCCCTCCAACAATCCATGATCACCACTGTCACCCCAGGAGGTGCTAACCATTGTGACCTTTTCCAAACCTCCACAGGTCGCTTCCTCGCCCGCATTCCCTACTGTCACCGCTCCCGTCTATACACCCTTCGGGTTCCTCGCCCCTTCATCTTCCAAGTTGCCTACCCCCCCTCCTCCCCCCCCCTCCTCCCCTCCCTCCCACTAACCCACTCGTCCCCCCCCGCCCCCCTGACTCTGACTGCTCATGTCGCTCCCTCTCCCACCCTGCTATCCTCCTCCATCACAGGCTAGGTCACCCCAACTTCGCCACTCTGCGCTCCTCTGTATCCTCCGGTCTCCTCCACGGTCTCCCCTCCTCCCTCCCTCCCCTCCCAAAGTCCCCTGCCCCCCCTTGTGTCGTCTGTGTTCAGAGCAAGCTCAAGCAGCAGCCGCACCGGAGCTCCCCCTCCGCTGCAGCCCAGCCACTTGATCTTGTCCACATGGATCTCTGGGGCCCTAACCCCTCCCCCACTCGCCAAGGCCATCGCTACCTCCTCGTGCTCGTCGATGATCACAGTCGGTACTCGTCCGTCTCTCTCCTTCGGACGAAGGCGGACGCCCCGACTGCGATCATTGCCTGGCTCGAACAGGCAAACACCCACTTTGGGCGCCCTGTTCGCCGCCTCCACTCTGATGGTGGTGGTGAGCTCCTTAACAACCAGATCTCCTCCTATTGCCAGTCCCGCGGCATTCTTCAGACTTACACCCTCCCTCACTCCCCACAGCAGAACGGTGTTGCTGAGAGCCGTGTTCGGGAGATCACCAAAACGGCTCGGTGTCTCCTTGTCCACGCCTCCTGCCCCCCTTCTCTGTGGGGCTACGCCCTCCTTCATGCCGCCCTCCTTACTAACCTTTACCCTCACCCCCTCCTCCCCTCCACCACCCCCACTGAGCTATGGACAAAGGACAAACCCGATGACTCCCCTCTTCGGGTCTGGGGCTCAAAGGCATATGTCCTCATTCACCCATCTGACCGATCCCGTTCCCTAGGAAAACTTGCCCCTCGTACCCTTCCCTGCATCTTCCTTGGTCATAACCCCTCTTCCCCCGACTATCTTTTCCTCCACCCCCCCTCCGGTCGACTAATTCGCAGCAGGGATGTCGTCTTTGACGAATCCACCCCATACTATTCCTCTCCTCCGTCCACTGACCCACTCCCACCTCTGACTCGTCCCCTTGTCTGGTCTGACACCACCCCTCCCCCTCTCCTCCCTCCTCCCCCCATCCTCCCACCCCCTCCCCCACCGCCCCCCCAGTCCCACGGTGCCCCTCCCTCGTCTGGTGACATCTTTGACCCGGACCCCCTGTCTTCCCCTGTCTCCCCCGCTCACTCCTCCCCTGGTACCCCTCCTCCCCCTCCCTCCCAACCCTCGCCTCCCTCCCCCCCTCCCCGCACCACACTCACCCGGTATCCTCACACCAGGTTGTGCGACGGTATTCTTGGTGCACCGCCCCCTGTTACCCTCTCTACCTCTACCCTCCCCCCCTCTTTCCCCCCTTCTTCACCACTTCTTCCAAGCTGTCCTGCATCAAGCCCCTCATGCACCCGCCCCCTCTACTACCTCTCCAGCAGCGGCAGCGGCAGCAGCTCCAGCAGCAGCCACCGCAGCGGCACTAGCAGCGGCACCAGCAGCGGCAAGTGCAGCGGCACCAGCAGCGGCAAGTGCAACGGCACCAGCAGCGGCGAGTGCAGCGGCAGTGGCGGCCTCGGCAGCGGCACCAGCAGCGGCGGCACCAGCAGCGGCATCAGCAGCGGCATCAACAGTGGCACCAGCAGCAGCACCTGCGGTCCTCCGCGCCTTCCACACCTCCCTCTCTGAGGACTCCCATGAGGAGTTCCTTGACCTCCACCTCTCTGACCCCTCCCTCCTTCCCATCACCTCTGACCTCTCTGGAACACCAGTCCTCGCCTTTTCCTCCGCACCCTCCACCTTCATCCCAACCACGTATGAGGAGGCCATGGCTTGTCCCGACGCCCCGCTCTGGCTCGCCGCCATCATCAAGGAGCTCGAGGCGTTTATTGCCAACTCCTCCTTCGTTGATGTGCCTCGCCCTCCCCCCTCTACGAACGTGGTCAAGGGAAAGTGGGTGTTTCGCGTCAAGCAGCTGCCAGGAGAACCGCCCGTCTACAAGGCCCGGTATTGCGCCAAGGGCTTCACGCAGCGGTATGGCTTTGACTTCTTCGACACCTTCTCCCCCACCGCCAAACCTGCTACCGTTCGCGCCGTCCTCGACCTCGCCGCTCGCCTCAACATGGAGATCCACTCGATGGATGTCTCCAACGCCTTCCTGCAAGGCGTACTACGTGAACTGATCTACATGGAGCGCCCCGCGGGCTTCCACCTCCCCTTCCCCGCTGACTCTGTCTGGCAACTGCGCCGCCCGGTGTATGGGCTCCGCCAGGCTCCCAGGGAATGGCATGCCAAGCTTGCTGCCACCCTTGTCGAGCTTGGGTTTCGCACCTCCCGCTCCGACGCCAGCCTCTTCCTCCGCACCTCCCCCTCCCCCTTCTACATCCTCGTCTATGTTGACGATATGATTCTTCTCACTACCGATCCTGCCGAGCTCGAGACTATCAAGACGGAGCTGGGCAGCCGTCTCAAGTGCAAAGACCTGGGAGAGCTGCAGCACTACCTCGGCATGACCATCACTCGCGACCGCTCCGCCCGCACCATCTCTCTCTCTCAGGGCCACTACCTCCAGCAGGTCTTAGAACGGTTTGCAATGGCGCGCGGTAACCCCCAGCCCACCCCCCTTTCGGTCGGGCACCACCTCTCCCCACCCTCCTCTCCCTCTCCCTCCTCCCCTCCTTATCCTGAACTCATCGGCTCTCTCATGTACGCCATGGTCTCTACTCGCCCTGACCTTGCCTACCCCATCAGCGTCCTCGCTCGCTTCGTTGGCGCTGGCAAGCATACGGAGGAGCACTGGCAGGCCGCCAAGCGCGTTCTTCGCTACATTCGTGGCACCAAGGACTATGTCCTTACCCTTGGCGGCCCTTCCTCACCCCTCCTCCGGTTTTGGCGGCCTCCTGATTCCATTTTCTAGCCTTATGCCTGTTGGGGGGTTGTGTTGTAACTGTATCTTATATACAACATACATAGGCTAGAATGGTGTAGCTCTTTATGTTCTTGGGGGGTTGGGTGTACACTCCAACCACATTTTGTGGTTGGTCAAGGTTGGGTTTGGTCTTGGTCCTTGGTTGGCACTTGCCAACTTTTGGTCCTAAGGCCTACCAATCACAACCTAGCAACATTGTGGGGTTACCTACTCCACAAGGCATCTCCCCCATTGGCCAACTTAGTGGCCAATAGGGTTTGCTCCTTCTTCACCCCTCTCTTGCTTGCATGCTTGTACTATAGAGCCTCAATGGCTCATCATTCAACTACTCTTGAATTCTATCAGATGGTGCTAGCGTTGTCACACCAGATGGTGGGACAGCGTTGGGGGGCGCCAAGCTCATCAAGGAGGAAGGTGAGCCAGCGCGCCTCCTGCGCGGCCATGGTTGCAGCGTAGAGCTCTGCCTTGCAGGAGGAGAGGGCGACGGCAGAGGAGCGTGTGGACCGCCAGCTGATGAGGCCGCTGCCCAGAGAGAAGCCATAACCCTGAGAGGACCGCCGATCCGGTCGAGAGTCAGCCCAGGAAGAGTCGCTGTAGCCGTTGAGGAGGGGTGGGGAAGGGCCGCCAAGGGTAAGGACATAGTCCTTGGTGCCACGAATGTAGCGAAGAACGCGCTTGGCGGCCTGCCAGTGCTCCTCCGTATGCTTGCCAGCGCCAACGAAGCGAGCGAGGACGCTGATGGGGTAGGCAAGGTCAGGGCGAGTAGAGACCATGGCGTACATGAGAGAGCCGATGAGTTCAGGATAAGGATGGGAGGAGGGAGAGGGAGAGGAGGGTGGGGAGAGGTGGTGCCCGACCGAAAGGGGGGTGGGCTGGGGTTACCGCGCGCCATTGCAAACCGTTCTAAGACCTGCTGGAGGTAGTGGCCCTGAGAGAGAGAGATGGTGCGGGCGGAGCGGTCGCGAGTGATGGTCATGCCGAGGTAGTGCTGCAGCTCTCCCAGGTCTTTGCACTTGAGACGGCTGCCCAGCTCCGTCTTGATAGTCTCGAGCTCGGCAGGATCGGTAGTGAGAAGAATCATATCGTCAACATAGACGAGGATGTAGAAGGGGGAGGGGGAGGTGCGGAGGAAGAGGCTGGCGTCGGAGCGGGAGGTGCGAAACCCAAGCTCGACAAGGGTGGCAGCAAGCTTGGCATGCCATTCCCTGGGAGCCTGGCGGAGCCCATACACTGGGCGGCGCAGCTGCCAGATAGAGTCAGCGGGGAAGGGGAGGTGGAAGCCCGCTGGGCGCTCCATGTAGATCAGTTCACGTAGTACGCCTTGCAGGAAGGCGTTGGAGACATCCATCGAGTGGATCTCCATGTTGAGGCGAGCGGCGAGGTCGAGGACGGCGCGAACGGTAGCAGGTTTGGCGGTGGGGGAGAAGGTGTCGAAGAAGTCAAAGCCATACCGCTGCGTGAAGCCCTTGGCGCAATACCGGGCCTTGTAGACGGGCGGTTCTCCTGGCAGCTGCTTGACGCGAAACACCCACTTTCCCTTGACCACGTTCGTAGAGGGGGGAGGGCGAGGCACATCAACGAAGGAGGAGTTGGCAATAAACGCCTCGAGCTCCTTGATGATGGCGGCGAGCCAGAGCGGGGCGTCGGGACAAGCCATGGCCTCCTCATACGTGGTTGGGATGAAGGTGGAGGGTGCGGAGGAAAAGGCGAAGACTGGTGTTCCAGAGAGGTCAGAGGTGATGGGAAGGAGGGAGGGGTCAGAGAGGTGGAGGTCAAGGAACTCCTCATGGGAGTCCTCAGAGAGGGAGGTGTGGAAGGCGCGGATGACAGCAGGTGCCGCTGCTGGTGCCACTGGTGATGCCGCTGCTGATGCCGCTGCTGGTGCCGCCGCTGCTGGTGCCGCTGCCGAGGCCGCCGCTGCCGCTGCACTCGCCGCTGCTGGTACCGTTGCACTTGCCGCTGCTGGTGCCGCTGCACTTGCCGCTGCTGGTGCCGCTGCTGGTGCCGCTGCTGGTGCCGCTGCGGTGGCTGCTGCTGGAGCTGCTGCGGCTGCTGGAGAGGTAGTAGAGGGGGCGGGTGCATGAGGGGCTGGATGCAGGACAGCCTGGAAGAAGTGGTGAAGAAGGGGGGAAAGAGGGGGGAGGGTAGAGGTAGAGAGGGTAACAGGGGGCGGTGCACCAAGAATACCGTCGCATGACCTGGTGTGAGGATGCCGGGTGAGTGTGGTGCGGGGAGGGGGGGAGGGAGGCGAGGGTTGGGAGGGAGGGGGAGGAGGGGCACTAGGGGAGGAGTGAGCGGGGGAGACAGGGGAAGACAGGGGGTCCGGGTCAAAGATGTCACCAGACGAGGGAGGGGCACCGTGGGACTGGGGGGGCGGTGGGGGAGGGGTTGGGAGGATGGGGGGAGGAGGGAGGAGAGGGGGAGGGGTGGTGTCAAACCAAACAAGGGGACGAGTCAGAGGTGGGAGTGGGTCAGTGGACGGAGGAGAGGAATAGTATGGGGTGGATTCGTCAAAGACGACATCCCTGCTACGAATTAGTCAGCCGTAGGGGGGGTGGAGGAAAAGATAGTCGGGGGAAGAGGGGTTATGACCAAGGAAGATGCAGGGAAGGGTACGAGGGGCAAGTTTTCCTAGGGAACGGGATCGGTCAGATGGGTGAATGAGTACATATGCCTTTGAGCCCCAGACCCGAAGAGGGGAGACATCGGGTTTGTCCTTTGTCCATAGCTCAGTGGGGGTGGTGGAGGGGAGGAGGGGGTGAGGGTAAAGGTTAGTAAGGAGGGCGGCATGAAGGAGGGCGTAGCCCCACAGAGAAGGGGGGCAGGAGGCGTGGACAAGCAGACACCGAGCCGTTTTGGTGATCTCCCGAACACGGCTCTCAGCGACACCATTCTGGTGTGGGGAGTGAGGGAGGGTGTAAGTCTGAAGAATGCCGCGGGACTGGCAATAGGAGGAGATCTGGTTGTTAAGGAACTCACCACCACCATTAGAGTGGAGGCGGCGAACAGGGCGCCCAAAGTGGGTGTTTGCCTGTTCGAGCCAGGCAATGATCGCAATCGGGGCGTCCGCCTTCGTCCGAAGGAGAGAGACGGACGAGTACCGACTGTGATCATCGACGAGCACGAGGAGGTAGCGATGGCCTTGGCGAGTGGGGGAGGGGTTAGGGCCCCAGAGGTCCATGTGAACAAGATCAAGTGGCTGGGCTGCAGCGGAGGGGGAGCTCCGGTGCGGCTGCTGCTTGAGCTTGCTCTGAACACAGACGACGCAAGGGGGGGCAGGGGACTTTGGGAGGGGAGGGAGGGAGGAGGGGAGACCGTGGAGGAGACCGGAGGATACAGAGGAGCGCAGAGTGGCGAAGTTGGGGTGACCTAGCCTGTGATGGAGGAGGATAGCAGGGTGGGAGAGGGAGCGACATGAGCAGTCAGAGTCAGGGGGGCGGGGGGGGACGAGTGGGTTAGTGGGAGGGAGGGGAGGAGGGGGGGGGAGGAGGGGGGGTAGGCAACTTGGAAGATGAAGGGGCGAGGAACCCGAAGGGTGTATAGACGGGAGCGGTGACAGTAGGGAATGCGGGCGAGGAAGCGACCTGTGGAGGTTTGGAAAAGGTCACAATGGTTAGCACCTCCTGGGGTGACAGTGGTGATCATGGATTGTTGGAGGGACCTTTGGGAGAGGAGGTTAGTGCAAAGGGAGGGAATGTGAAGACCTGTGACGGTACCTGAGGGAAAGAGAGGACAGGGAAGGGTGGACGTGTTGTGACAGGGGATGGAAAAGCTGCTGTCAGCGCCGAGGAGGGACGTGGGTGTGGGGAGAGGATGGAGTTTGTCAGCATCGCGAAAGACATTGTCAGTGGCTCCACTATCCAAGACGAACTCAAGGGTGGAGGAGGGTGAGGCGGAGTACTGAATGGAAGTTTCATTAGTAGCAGGGGCATACATAGGGGATGCAACAGAGGGAGGCTGACTAAGCAGACCAACAAAGCCAGAGGAGGGAAAGGGGGTCACACTACCACCTGTGGACGGCGCAGGGGAGGGACCGGAGAGGTGGGCCGCAGAGGCTGCATTCCCAGCGGTCCAGCCGGGAAACGGTTGCTGCTGGAGGACAAGAGGAGGAGGGAGGAGAGGAAGCTGGGGCTGGAGGTCGAGCTGCTGCTGGAGTTGCTGAAGCTGCTGCTGGAGCTGCTGAAGCTGCTGCCCGTACTGCTGCGGTCCCTGCTGCTGGACACTCTGCTGCTGCTGCTGCTGCTGCTGCTGCTGCTGCTGAGAGGGGAGAGCAAAGGCCTGGTGGGCCTGGGAGGAGGAGGAAGGAGCGTAGAGGGGAGAGGAGCGAACGTCGAGGGGAGTGGGGCGGGGATTAAGGGAGGACCAGCGAGGAGGGGTGCCAGAGTTCCCACGAGCGAACCACTCATCGCTGAGTGCCTTGAAGCGCGTCTCAGTTGCATGAGTGGTTTGGTTGCAGCGTTGGCCTCGGGTGGGGCCATAAAGGGGAAGATACTGACAGGGTGGGAAGGCCGCTGCTGCACCACGACCCGCACCACCACGACCGCCAGAGCCGCCTCGACCACCTCCACGCCCACCTCCACGCCCCCCTCCACGTCCGCCTTTGCCGTTGCGCTGCTGTGCTACCGCGGTAGTGGAGGAGGAGTGGCGAAGGATGTCTGCCTCGGTGGTGATAATCCACTGGGCAACTTGAGCGGGAGTGTCATGTTTGGAGAGGAGTTGCATGTAGGCCAGCTTGTGGGCATCGAAGGCAGGAGTGAGGCCTTCGAGGAGGTGGCAGCAGATGACGGTGTCAGGGTAAGTAACACCAAGTGCTGCAAGGCGGCGAGCAAGGTCAAGGACGCGGCGAGTAAAGGCGGCTGCGCCGGCAGTGGAATCCATGGTGATGGATCCAAATTCCTTGATGAGGGCATAGAGGGTGGCGATGTCCTGCCGGTCAAAGAGGTCGACAAGCAGTTGCCACAGGTGGGAGGAGGAGGTGGGTGAGAGTTCTCGCTTGAGGGAGGAGGGGATAGTGGCGAGGAGGATGGCGAGAGCTCGACGGTCAGCCATGCGCCACGCAGCGATGTCGGAGGTGTAGTTAGTGAGGCATGCAGTGTACGTGGTGAGTTGGGCGAGGTAGTCGCGGTGACGGGCAGCAGCCTTGTCGTAGGCGCGCTTGTCGTCCTCATAGCGCAGTTGACGGCGAAGGTGGTCGTTGAGTGTGTTGCGGTAGGCACGGATGGCAGTTTCTACGCTTTGAGGATTGTTGACATCCGGTGCGAAGGAGGGAGGATCACCAGGGGGCTCGGGCTCAGGTCCGGGCTCATCAGGAGGAGGTCCGGTGGGGGCAGAAGGGGCGATGGGCTGGAGTCCGCCTTCCTCCTGGAACACGACGGAACGGAGTGTATAACCACTAACGATGACCGAGGAGAGCAACACCTCGACGGAGTGAGCATAGGAGTGCCAGTTGGCGGCCGAGTTGTCGCCGAGCAGCTCGAGGGCGTCAATGGTCGCTAGATCGACCGAGGAGTCGGATGACGCCATGACGGCGGAGGGGTGAAGGCGCCGCTGTTGCTGTTGGTATTGGTGCCGCCGATGCCGCTGCAGCTGCCGCTGCCGATGCCGCTGCAGCTGCCGCCACCGATGCCGCTGCTGCTGCCGCCGCCGATGCCGCTGCTGCTGCCGCCGCCGATGCCGGTGCTGCTGCCGCCGCCAATGCCGGTGCTGCTGCCGCCGCCGATGCCGCTGCTGCTGCCGCCGCCGATGCCGCTGCTGCTGCCGCTGGTGCCGTTAGGGGTGGAGTAGGGGGAGGAGGTAGAGGGGAAGAGAGGCTGGTGCGGAAGTGCGGGGAGGAATTAGGGTTTCGAGGTCGTGGAGATCGCGGGCAGGCGAACGCGACGGCGGGCAGATCAGCCGCGGCTGCGCGCCAGCCGTCCGCGTCGGCGCAGGGGCGTTGACGGCCGCGCGCTGGCCGTCCGCGGTGGCGCGCGGTTCGTTCGTGGCCGCGCGCTGGCTGTCCGCGTCAGCACGCGGCTCGTCGACGGGGCCGCGCTGGCCGTCCGCGTCAGCGCGCGGGTCGTCGGCGGGGCCGCGCCGGCCGTCCGCGGCAGCGCGCTGGTCGTCGGGGGTCGCGCGCTGGCCGTCCGCGGTGGTCGCAGGTCGTCCGCGTCGCCGCGCTGGTCGTCCGTGTCGGCGCCGAGGTCGGCGCGTCGGCGGGCAGATGGAGGCGTGGCGGCGGGAGGAAGGATTGCTGCCATGGGGGAGCGGTTTGGGGCTGCAGGAGGGAGGATTGAGGCTTCGGGAGGGAGGATAGAGGCCGCGGGAGGGAGGATTGAGGCCGCGGAGGAGGAGATCTACGCCGCGGAACGCTAGATCTGAGGTGCGGGAGGCGGAACTGAGCCGCGGGAGGCTAGATCTGAGGAGCGGGTGTTCCGATGTAGGTCATAGTCCGCTAGGGTAAGGGAGCGGGGAGGGAATTACAACATGGGGATCGAGGGAAGGTGGCGTGAGCCATTTGGCTCTGAATACCATGATAGAATTCAAGAGTGGTTTGAATAATGAGCCATGGAGGCTCTATAGTAGAAGCATGCAAGCAAGAGAGGGGTGAAGAAGGAGCAAACCTTATTGGCCACTAAGTTGGCCAATGGGGGAGATGCCTTGTGGAGTAGGTAACCCCACAATGTTGCTAGGTTGCGATTGGTAGGCCTTAGGACCAAAAGTTGGCAAGTGCCAACCAAGGACCAAGACCAAACCCAACCTTGACCAACCACAAAATGTGGTTGGAGTGTACACCCAACCCCCCAAGAACATAAAGAGCTACACCATTCTAGCCTATGTATGTTGAATATAAGATACAGTTACAACACAAGGCATTTCTCCAGACCGATCTTCAAATTGACTTTTGAGTCGACTCAAAAGTTTTCTTGAAAAGTGGTCAAGGCATTTCTCCAGACCGATCTTCAAATTAACTTTTGAGTCGACTCAAAAGTTTTCTTGAAAAGTGGTCAAGGCATTTCTCCTGACCAATCTTCAAATTGACTTTTGAGTCGACCCAAAAGTTTTCTTGAAAAGTGGTCTAGGCATTTCTCCAGACCAATCTTCAAATTGACTTTTGAGTCGACCCAAAATTTTTCTTGAAAAGTGGTCTAGGCATTTCTCCAGACCCATTTTCAAATTGACTTTTGAGTCGACTCAAAAGTTTTCTTGAAAAGTGGTCAAGGCATTTCTCCAGACCAATCTTCAAAATTGACTTTTGAGTCGACTCAAAAGTTTTCTTGAAAAATGGTCAAGGCATTTCTCCAGACCAATCTTCATATTGACTTTTGAGTCGACTCAAAAGTTTTCTTGAAAAGTGGTCAAGGCATTTCTCCAGACCGATCTTCAAATTGACTTTTGAGTCAACTCAGAAGTCTTCTTGAATAGTGGTCAAGGCATTTCTCCAGACCGATCTTCAAATTGACTTTTGAGTCGACTCAAAAAGTTTTCTTGAAAAGTGGTCAAGGCATTTCTCCAGACCGATCTTCAAATTGACTTTTGAGTTGACCCAAAAGTCTTCTTGAAAAGTGGTCAAGGCATTTCTCCAAACCGATCTTCAAATTGACTTTTGAGTCGACTCAAAAGTTTTCTTGAAAAGCGGTCAAGGCATTTCTCCAGACCGATCTTCAAATTGACTTTTGAGTCGACTCAAAAGTTTTCTTGAAAAGTGGTCAAGGCATTTCTCCAGACCAATCTTCAACTGACTTTTGAGTTGACCCAAAATTTTTCTTGAAAAGTGGTCAAGGCATTTCTCCAGACCCATTTTCAAATTGACTTTTGAGTCGATAAAAAGTTTTCTTGAAAAGTGGTCAAGGCATTTCTCCAGACCGATTTTTTTATTTCTAAACAAGGCTTACCCCCCACAAGTCTCATACCCCCAGATCGTAAGCTACCCTCAGCAAGTGATTCTCCGAATTCACTTGGAAAGGGGTGACATTTGCACAAGTGGGCCTTAACCATAACCCCATCTGTAACTTTTGAGTCGACTCAAAAGATATCTGCACAAGTGCGCCTTAACCATAACCCCATCCGTAAATGCAAATCTCATAAGCTTACCTGGAAAGAGGTAGTTCTCCAGGGAAGCGGAGTTGGGGGGGAGGTCGTATGCAATCTGCACATCATCCTTCTCCAGGGCATAGCCGAGAATTTCTGCCAGGTTGGTGTGCTGCAATGCTACCAGCGCTTGAATCTCCTTCTGTTGCATGGTAGGGATGTGCAGGGGAGACGGCCATGTGGGGGGAGGGAGGAAGGAGGTGGGGGGAAAGAGCTAGGTTGGGGGGAAGGAGGCTACTTTGCGATCTGCACGTCGTCCTTCTCCAGCGCATAGCCAAGAATCTCCGCCAGGTTGGCATGCTGGAGCGCTACCAGCGCTTGAATCTCCTTCTGTTGCATGGCACGCACGCATGTGACAGCAAGGGGAACACAGTGAGGGGGGAGGGAGATGGGGTAGAGGAAGGGGCGTGAGGAGGGAGGAGAGTTGGTAGGAGAGTTGGGAAGGACGTCGTATGCGATCTGCACATCGTCCTTCTCCAGGGCATAGCCCAGGATCTCAGCTAGGTTGGCGTGCTGCAATGCTACCAGCGCTTGAATCTCCTTCTGTTGGATTGGATACAATGGTTATGTGAAGTGAAGATTGGAACGGGAGAGGAGGAGAGGAGGATCCAATGGTCTTCCCTCCCTGTTGACAGCGGCGTCCGCGTCCCACCCATCCACCTAGTTGACTAATGGACGGTTGTGATTCATTCATTCGCAGCTCAGTCAGCTCACCATCTTATTCTTCTTCCCCAGCGTAGCAGACAGAAACTTCTTGGCAGTTTCAGGCAGAGGCGACGACGGCGCCATGAGAGGCGACTTCGCACCGCCTCCTCCTCTTGGAGACTTTGCCCCTCCTCCTCGGGGGGACTTGGACCCTCCCCCCCCTCGAGGCGACTTGGCCCCTCCCCCCCGCGGGGACTTCCCCCCTCCTCTTCCCTCTCCGCCCACCTCCTCCTTTGTCTTGGAGTGCGGAATCGGGAGGCCGAGCATGAGCGACGCGAGGTCCAGCGATCTCGACTTGGGGATTTTTCCCGGCTGCTTCGTGGGAGCTTGAGCTTCTTCCTGTGACGGCTCCCTTGCATGCCCCCGCTCCCTCCCCCGCTCCCTCCCATGCCCACCCCCACGCTCCCTCCCATGCCCTCCCCCGCGCCCATGCCCATCCCCGGGCCTGTCACGGCTGCTCTCCCCATGTGCGCGGGCGTACCCTTGCCGATGCTCCCCCTGCTCCTCCTCCCCATCCTCCAACTCGTCATCCTCCCAGTGACCCTGGTCGTGGGGGTCTGGACGATGGGGGTTTGATTGATGAGATTCGGGTCTCCGAGTGTCGATATCGCACTCCTCTTGCCCGTACATCTCACGGCTTTGAGGCGATAACGGCGCCCCATACTCGTCGTCCTCCTCCCCCTCTCTCTCCCTTTCCCTTTCCTGCTGCTGCTCCCGCTGCTGCAGCTGCTGCGACTGCTGATACCGAAGCCGTGACTGCTGGTGGTGCTGCGCCTCCTGCTGCAAACTCCTCCTCTCCGGCTTCTGCTGTTTAGCCTGCTTCAGCTGGTTCAGCTGATCCTTACCCCGCCTCTCCTGCTCCCTGCTGCTCTGCCCGCTCTCGCTCCGTCTAAACAGCCCCCTCTTTCCTCCGCTGCCCCCCTCCCCTCTGCTCCTGGGTCTTCCTCCCGGTGTGGTCGGCGTTGTGGGCGTTGTCGGAACTTCCCCTCCGGAAACGGTCCTAGAGTGCGGAAGGAACCCTCTGAGTGCACGAGCAGCAGGCTTGGGGGAAAGCAACTGAGAGGAGACATTTGCAGCAGAAGAACCACCACCACTACCCCCCCCACCACCACCACCACCACTACCACCGCTACCGAACCTACCACCACCACTACCCTCACTCTCCCTATCTGACTCATCTCCTCCCATCCACCTCCTCCCAAACCCTCCTTCCAGTTCCCCCTCCTCACCTTCTTCCGTACTCTCCACCCTCTCAACTCCTTTCCTCCCCCTCACCAACCCACTCATTGATGCTGGTACAGCAGACAAGGGCACCTCTGCTTCTGCACCCCCTCCCTCCCTCCCCCGGGAACCTTCCTGTTGGCTTCCTTCCGAGCCTGATTCTGACGGCAGGTTCGCGAGATTCATGTCCGATTTCGAGCGGACCGGCGGGAACTTCGGGCGCCAGAAATCTTTCTGGAAAACGTTTATCCCGCCCGGGATTCGCGGCGAGAGCATGGGGAAAGCAGCAGCAGCAGAGGAGGGTCTGGGGGTTGAAGCACCACCACCACCATCCGCAGCAGCAGCAGCAGCAGCAGCAGCAGCGTCGGGAGAGGTTATAGATCCACTGCGTGTGTGGGTTCTGGGTGAAAGTGGGGCTTTAAGCTGCTCCTTCTCATGCTGCTGCTGCTGCTTCTGCTGCTGTGCCCCTCCCCGTCCACTCCCCCCTCTCCCCCCTATTCTCATCTCACCAGACCTACTCGCAGTTGCCTGCACAGGCTGTGGCTGAGCGTGCGAGGAACCTTCCCGGAAGGAGGAGGAGCGGGAGGTTGGGGTGGAGGCGGAGGTAGAAGAGGAGGTGGAGGAGGTTCGGGAGAAGGTTGGTCGGCTCGAACCTGACCCGGCTCGGCCGAACGTGGGGAAGCCTCGGAGGCTGCCCGAAGCTGTGGCTGCTGCTGCTAGGGCTGGGGAGGGGGGGAGTGAGGGAGTGAGTGGGGAGAACAGAGGTCAAAGGAGAGGAGGACGAAGGTCATTTACAAGTCCAGGCCAGATGACGCAATGAAGTGAGAAAAACGTTTCCAGTCGGCATAATTGATCCCTTCCAGTTCCAACCATATCCCTCACTCCACAACCCCAAACCCACCACACCCCACACCCCATAGTCAATCAAGACTCACCTTGCTGCTGAATGGTTTTCAGCCGCCGCACCACCTCCCCCATGGCTGGGCGGTCCTTGGGCAGGCGCTGCACACACATGGCGGCGAGACTGCCCACCGCCTGCCCATCTGACACCCCACTCCTCCCCATACCCCACGCAAACCGAGACTCACCCTGCTGTCTGATGGATTTTAGTCGCCGCACCACCTCCCCCATGGCTGGGCGGTCCTTGGGCAGGCGCTGCACACACATGGCGGCCAGGCTGCCCACCGCCTGCAGCGCCTGTGGGGTGCTCGACTCCAGCAGCACGGGGTCTGCCACTGAGTCCGTGTGGCCACTGCAGATGGCGGGGGTGGCCTGCGTGTGTGGAGTGGGACATGGGGACAGGGGGATGCAGGGGTGAGGGGAGGTGTGCTCGACTCCAGCAGCACAGGGTCTGCGACTGAACCCGTGTGGCCACTGCAGATGGCGGGAGTGGCCCGTTTGGTGGGGAGAAGGGGAGAGGGAAACAGGTAAAAAGGGAAACAGGGAACAAGCTCATAATACCGAGACTGCCCACCGCCTGCAGAGACTGAGGGTGAGGGGTACTTGACTCCAGCAGCACTGGGTCTGCCGCTGAGTCTGTGTGGCCTGGCCACTGCAGATGGCGGGGGTGGCCTAGGGGGGGGGGGGGGGGTGGGGTTTGCTGTGGGGGGGGAGAGGGGGAGCGGAAGGGAGAATGGGACAAAGGGGTGGTCCTCGACTCCAGCAGCACGGGGTCTGCTACTGAGCCTGTGTGGCCGCTGCAGATGGCGGGGGTGGCCTGCAGAGTGGTTGGAGGAGAGGGGAACAGGGAAGAAGCTCAGAAGGCAGCGCCTGCAGCGCCTGTGGTGTGGTGTGGTGTGCTCGACTCCAGCAGCACAGGGTCTGCTACTGAATCCGTGTGCCCGCTGCAGATGGCGGGGAAGGCCTGGAAGAGGGGGGAGGGGAGGGGGGGTGTTGTGGGGGCGGAGAAGGGGAGCGGAAGGGAGAATGGGACAGCACTCGAATCCAACAGCACTCGTCTGCTACTGAGTCTGTGTGACCGCTGCAGATGGCGGGGGTGGCCTGTTTGGTGGGGAGGGGAGAGGGAGAAGAACATAAGACACAGAGGGGGTGGCCTGTTTGTTCATGGATAGGAGAGGGGCGAGCAGCAGGCAGGCACACACAGAGCTGGTCCGGTGCCCGGCTCCACTCCAGGTGACTTTTGAGTCGACTCAAAAGTCACCTCAGCAGGCACACACAGAGCTGGTCTGGTGCCCGACTCCACTCCAGCAGCACTGCATCCGCTGCTGGACGGCGGATTGCTTCCGTGTGCCTGCCTGCTGCAGCTGGCGGGGGTGGCCTGGGCCTGGGGTGGTGGGGAGGAGGGGAAAGGAAAACGAGCATGCAACAGAGCAGTTTACCATTTCCCCAACACAACTTCCCCCCCCATCCCCGAGTCCTGACCCGACCCCACTAATCCCCCTTCTCTCGCCCATTCAAAGAGGGGAGAAAAGGCACCTGCACCGCACCATTCCAAATGGTACCCCCATTCGACGAGTACCATCCTCTCCCCCACACCGTCCGTCCGACTCCTTGAGAACAGGCACCTGTCCCCTTTATCCACTTGAACTTGATACTTTCTCTTCACATCACCCCCAACCTCTTTAACCCCCTTTCCAGCTCACCCATTTCACGAGGGGCCATTCTCACCCCGGCGTCGTCCGACTCCTTGAGAACAGGCGCCTTGCTTATCCTCTTACCCATGTGACCCTTTCACCTCACCTCACCTCACCTCACCTCACCTCACCTCACCTCACCTCACCGCCACCTCTGCAACACCCTTCAAGCTCACCCATTTCGCGAACGCCATTCTCTCCCCGCCTGGCCGGCGTCGTCCGACTCCTTGAGAACAGGCGCCTTGCCTGTGACCTTACCTTACCCACTTGCCCTCAACCAATATACTGTTTAGCCTCCATCACGCCCCTCTCCTCCCCTCAATCGCCCATTTCGCGAGCGCCGTTCTCTCCCCGCCCGGCGCCGTCTGACTCCTTGAGAACGGGCGCCTTGCCAGTCTCCTTACCCACTTGACCCGTTCTCCTTACTCAACCCCAGCCATCCCGCCCTCTTTCTCTCACCCATTTGGCGAGCGCCATTCTCTCCCCGGCGTCGTCTGACTCCTTGAGAACAGGCGCCTTGCCTGTTATGAGCTCCAGAAGCACCACTCCAAAGCTGCCACGTGGCATGCACGCAGATAGAGGTATGGGGACACTTGGACAAGGTACAGGGCATGGCAGTCAAGTGAATTTCTTTTCACTGCAAACTAACACCTCACTCCCTGCGTGCATACCTGTAGACGTCAGAACGATCAGACACAATGCTGGTCTGGCAATATTGTGGATCGAGGTAGCCCGGTGTGCCGACCACTCGGGTGTGCGTGGGAGACGTGGACTCGTCGTTGATCTCTTTCACGTTGCCAAAGTCGCCCAGCTTCGGCTGGGAGAGTTGAGAGGCGAGGGAAGCAGGTACAGGGGGCAAGGGAGTGAAGGAAGCAGTGGTGTGAGCGGGGAAGACAAGGGAAACTTTTGAGAATTCTCAAAAGTCACTCCCATATAGCGGGGAAGACAAGGGAAACTTTTGAGAATTCTCAAAAGTCACTCCCATATAGCGGGGAAGACGAGGGAAACGTGGACTCGTTGCTGATCTCCTTCACGTTGTCAAAGTTGCCCAGCTTCGGCTGGGGAAGGGGAGAAGGGAGGGAGGGGGAGAGGAAAACAAGCGTGTCTTTTGACGACCCAACAATTATCCAGATAGCCTGGAGTGCCGACCACTCGGGTGTGCGTGGAGACGTAGACTCGTCATTGATCTCCTTCACGTTGCCAAAGTCGCCTAGCTTGGGCTGGGCGGGGCTGATAAGTCAAGGGGGGAGTAAGAGGAGCATGGAAGGGGAGATGGGGAAAAGTGGGTGATCTGTGGTGTGAGCGACTCACATGCAAGTCATTATCAAGAAACACATTGAGGGTCTTCACATCGCAGTGAATGATTGCCGGGTGGCACCCATGCATGTACTGCAGCGCCTCAGCGACCCCCAGTGCCATCTCCAGGCTCATAACAACCCGACTCATAAACACACGCACAGCAACTCACATGCAAGTCATTATCAAGAAACACATTGAGGGTCTTCACGTCACGATGTATAATCGCCGGGTGGCACCCATGCATGTACTGCAGTGCTTCCGCGACCCCCAGTGCCACCTCCAGGCGCTTGTCAAACCACAGCATGCCAACCTTCCCCTCCCATTAACAGCGACGCACATGTAAGTCGTTGTCAAGGAACACGTTGAGCGTCTTCACGTCGCGGTGAATGATCGCCGGGTGGCATCCATGCATGTACTGCAGCGCCTCCGCCACTCCCAGGGCCACCTCCAGGCGCTTGTCAAACGACAACATGCCTCCCGGCTTCCCTTCTATGGCCGCCTCCCCCCTGATGGGGTTGATGTGCTGGCGCAGGTTGCCGTTGGGCACAAACTCGTATACGAGCAGAAGCTCCTCTCTTTCCTCGCAGTACCCCAGCAGCCGCACCAGGTTGGGGTGGCGTAGCTGGGAGACCGCGTGGATCTGAGGTGGGAAAGAGGAGGGGAGGGGAGGGGGTGACGGGGAGAGGGTGACGGGGAGAGGGTGACGGGGAGAGGGTGACGGGGAGAGGGTGACGGGGAGGGGGTGACGGGAGAGGGTGACGGGGAGAGGGTGACGGGGAGAGGGTGACGGGGAGAGGGTGACGGGGAGAGGGTGACGGGGAGGGGGTGACGGGGAGAGGGTGACGGGGAGAGGGTGACGGGGAGAGGGTGACGGGGAGAGGGTGACGGGGAGAGGGTGACGGGGAGAGGGTGACGGGGAGAGGGTGACGGGGAGAGGGTGACGGGGAGAGGGTGACGGGGAGAGGGTGACGGGGAGAGGGTGACGGGGAGAGGGTGACGGGGAGAGGGTGACGGGGAGAGGAGGGGGAGGGGAGGGGGAGGACAGTGGGAGGTCATGAGGGGTGGAGGCGTGGGGGTGAAGGTGGCTGGCTGCCCTGCCTCGCTCCCTCTATAGCCGCCTCGCCCCTGATGGGGTTGATGTGCTGGCGCAGGTTGCCGTTGGGTACAAACTCGTACAAACCCCAGTTTTGGGGATACCAATCGGGACTTTGCATGGTTAGGAGTCTTGAAGAGGCTCCTCCCTCCAGTCTTTGCATGGCCGCAAAACTAGACTCCTCCCAGAACCCCAGCAGCAGCCGCACCGGGGAGGCGTGGCGCAACTGGGAGACTGCATGGATCTTTTGTGGGGGGAAGAGTGGGAGGTTGAAAGGGCAGAGCGCAAAAGCAAGGGGACACAGGGGAGGAGGGGAGGTGGAGTGGAGGCGTGCGGGTGGCAGCAGAGCAGCTCCTCCCTCCCTCTCCTCGCAGAACCCCAGCAGCCGCACCAGATTGGCATGCCTCAGCTGCGACACTGCGTGGATATTTGGGGGAATGGGGGAGAGATGGGGGGAGGAGGGGAGGAGAGGACGGGGGGGAGATAGCACAGAGAGTGAGGGAAGTGGAACAGGGAATGGAGGGGCAGCGGAGGGGGGGGAGAACGTATCGTTCCGAGTCGGCTGAAACCACATCTGTCTCACCTCTTTCTCATAGTCCTTCCGGCGAGAAATCCCGCCCTTCTTCCCTCTTTTCACGGCCCACAGCTGCCCGTCCGCCCCACACCCCCGGTAAACCACAGCCGACCCGCCCTCGCCCAGCTTGGCCTCCTCCGCCCACCCCTGCGTGGCCCGCTCCACCTCCTCGTACGGAATCGCCTTGGCTGGTTCCAGCTCTTCCAAGTCTGTGCCGTCAGGCACGGATTCGAGACGCTTGGCGAAGGATCGGCGCAGGAGGGCTTGGTGCTTCGCGCCCCTGCCTCCTGCCCCTCCCATACCCGCCCTCCCTGCTGCTGCTGCTGCTGCTCCTGCTGCTCCTCCTGCTCCTGCTCCTGCTCCTGCTCCTGCAGCTCCTGCTCCTCCCCCCCCTCCTCCTCCTGCTGCTCCTCCTGCTCCTGGCCCCTTTCCTATCCCTCCTATTATCGGCATCCTCCCCGGAAGCTCCAACACCACTCCCCCTCCCCCCCCCGTCTCCCCCTCCCCCCCCCCCCCCTCCGCCTCCCCCAGCCAACCCCCCTGCCCCTCCGCTTCCCCCCACACTCCCCCCACTCCCCACAAACTGCCCCCTCCCTTGTTTCATCTCCAGCCTAGCCCCCCCCTCCACAGCCCACGCCAGCTGCTCGCCCACCCTTCTCTCCGCCTCAAACCGCACCTCTGGGAGAGTCACCGCCATGAGCAGCGACTTATCCGAGGATCTCAGCATCGCGTGCTGCGAGGAAGGTGCGCCTATGGAGTGCAGCAGGCGCTTCACCGACACCTCGCTGGGGATGCTGTCCACAGGGGAGGTGCCGTTCCACGCGACAAACCAGGAGAAATCGCTCATCGAGTCGATTCGAACGGTCGCGCCGAGCGGGAACGAGGAGGAGAAGGAGCAGGCAGCGGCAGAGGAAGCGGAGGAGGAGGAAGGGGAGGAGGAGGGCGATGGGGAGGAGTTGAGGTTGGCCTCGCGGCGGTCGGGGAGGAAGAGGTCTCGCACGTCGTCTAGCCCGTCGTCCCACAGGATTAGCTCGTCTCCCACTGCTGGGACTACCCGCGTGTGCTTTCTCACTGTCAGCCGCCCAGATACCCTGGCGCTTGTTGCAGGGGCAGTGCTGGTGGTGGTGGTGTGTGTGTTGGTGGTGCTGTTGGTGGTGATGGCGGTGCCTTTGCTGCCGGTCGCTGCTGCAGCGTCTGCTGAGGTGTTGGGATCAATACCTGCTGCTGTAGCGTCAATAGTACCACCGCCCTCTGTTCTACCTCCCTCTGTGCTGCTTCTACCGGCACTACCGGCACTGCCACTGCTGCCGCTGCTGCCATTGCTGCTCAAGCTACTCACACTGCTAATTCCCGTGCTGCTGCTGCCCCCACCGCTGCACTCACTACCTCCTCCCCTCCTACCCTCACTTCCCATGCAAAAATCACACAACCGACCCGCAACACCAGCACCAGAACCACCCGCACCACCACTGCCACCCTCCGCTGTAACCACCTGATTATTCTCCTGAATAACCAGCTGCACGGCTCGTCCCAGCAAGGCATACTGGGCTAAGACAGGGGCGAGTGAGACCGCCACATCGTACACCGTTCGTTGGGACGCCTCCCACACTGCTTGCACCTCGTCCGTCAGATCTTCCAGCAGATCCTCCAATGGCGCAGCGGCAATACGGTACGAGTCAACATCCCAACGGGAGGGGGAGGGGGAGGGGGAGGAGGATGGAGGGTGGCACCCGTTGGCAGTGGCAGGGGCGGACTTGTTAGCGGGTTCGGCGGGTGGCAGCGGCAGGTTCGGCAGTGGCAGCGGCAGCAGGTTCGGGTGTGGATCGCAGGGCTTGGGAGTCGAGTTCGGCTCGGAGGGCAAACGTTCGGAAGGCAAAGAGAGGCACCCTGCGAGGGTCGCCCTGTGAAGGGGGAGGGGGGGGAGGGGGAGGAGGGGAAGCGGAGGAGAGACAGGCTGAGCAGTCGAGTTCGGCTCGGAGGGCAAACGTTCGGAAGGCAAAGAGAGGCACCCTGCGAGGCAAAGGAGCAGAAGGCAAAGGAGGACCCTCTGAGTGTCGCCCTGTCCCCCGTCCCCCATCCCCCGTCCCAAATCCCCCGTCCCCCATCCCCCGTCCCATGTCTCCTCACCCTTCTCCCCTCTCTGATACCTTCCGCCCTCCCCCCTCCTCTCAACTTGGGTACTCCATCCCTTCCCCTCACCTTGGGGACCTTATCAATCATCATCATGGCAGCCCTAACCCCCATGGCCTGGGCGCTCAGCCGCATACCCTTCAGCTGCGTGCAGGACAGAAGCTTGCCACTCCCATTTCAACCCAACCCAACCCAACCCAGCCCAACCCAACCCAACCCATCCCAACCCAACCTCCCATCTTCCCCTCACCTTGGGGACCTTATCAATCATCATCATGGCAGCCCTAACCCCCATGGCCTGGGCGCTCAGCCGCATACCCTTCAGCTGCGTGCAGGACAGAAGCTTGCCACTCCCATCCCAGCCCAACCCAGCCCAACCCAACCCAACCCATCCCAACCCAACCTCCCTTCTTCCCCTCACCTTGGGGACCTTATCAATCATCATCATGGCAGCCCTAACCCCCATGGCCTGGGCGCTCAGCCGCATACCCTTCAGCTGCGTGCAGGACAGAAGCTTGCCACTCCCATCCCAACCCAACCCAACCCTAAACCCAGCCCAACCCAACCCAACCCATCCCAACCCAACCTCCCATCTTCCCCTCACCTTGGGGACCTTATCAATCATCATCATGGCAGCCCTAACCCCCATGGCCTGGGCGCTCAGCCGCATACCCTTCAGCTGCGTGCAGGACAGAAGCTTGCCACTCCCATTTCAACCCAACCCAACCCAACCCAGCCCAACCCAACCCAACCCATCCCAACCCAACCTCCCATCTTCCCCTCACCTTCTTGGGGACCTTATCAATCATCATCATGGCAGCCCTAACCCCCATGGCCTGGGCGCTCAGCCGCATACCCTTCAGCTGCGTGCAGGACAGAAGCTTGCCACTCCCATCCCAACCCAACCCAACCCAACCCAACCCAGCCCAACCCAACCCAACCCATCCCAACCCAACCTCCCATCTTCCCCTCACCTTGGGGACCTTATCAATCATCATCATGGCAGCCCTAACCCCCATGGCCTGGGCGCTCAGCCGCATACCCTTCAGCTGCGTGCAGGACAGAAGCTTGCCACTCCCATCCCAACCCAACCCAACCCAACCCAGCCCAACCCAACCCAACCCATCCCAACCCAACCTCCCATCTTCCCCTCACCTTGGGGACCTTATCAATCATCATCATGGCAGCCCTAACCCCCATGGCCTGGGCGCTCAGCCGCATACCCTTCAGCTGCGTGCAGGACAGAAGCTTGCCACTCCCATCCCAACCCAACCCAACCCAACCCAGCCCAACCCAACCCAACCCATCCCAACCCAACCTCCCATCTTCCCCTCACCTTGGGGACCTTATCAATCATCATCATGGCAGCCCTAACCCCCATAGCCTGGGCGCTCAGCCGCATACCCTTCAGCTGCGTGCAGGACAGAAGCTTGCCACTCCCATCCCAACCCAACCCAACCCAACCCAGCCCAACCCAACCCAACCCATCCCAACCCAACCTCCCATCTTCCCCTCACCTTGGGGACCTTATCAATCATCATCATGGCAGCCTTAACCCCCATGGCCTGGGCGCTCAGCCGCATACCCTTCAGCTGCGTGCAGGACAGAAGCTTGCCACTCCCATCCCAACCCAACCCAACCCAACCCATCCCAACCCAACCTCCCATCTTCCCCTCACCTTGGGGACCTTATCAATCATCATCATGGCAGCCCTAACCCCCATGGCCTGGGCGCTCAGCCGCATACCCTTCAGCTGCGTGCAGGACAGAAGCTTGCCACTCCCATCCCAACCCAACCCAACCCAACCCAGCCCAACCCAACCCAACCAATCCCAACCCAGCCTCCCATCTTCCCCTCACCTTGGGGACCTTATCAATCATCATCATGGCAGCCCTAACCCCCATGGCCTGGGCGCTCAGCCGCATACCCTTCAGCTGCGTGCAGGACAGAAGCTTGCCACTCCCATCCCAACCCAACCCAACCCAACCCAGCCCAACCCAACCCATCCCATCCCAACCCAACCTCCCATCTTCCCCTCACCTTGGGGACCTTATCAATCATCATCATGGCAGCCCTAACCCCCATGGCCTGGGCGCTCAGCCGCATACCCTTCAGCTGCGTGCAGGACAGAAGCTTGCCACTCCCATCCCAACCCAACCCAACCCAACCCAGCCCAACCCAACCCAACCCATCCCAACCCAACCTCCCATCTTCCCCTCACCTTGGGGACCTTATCAATCATCATCATGGCAGCCCTAACCCCCATGGCCTGGGCGCTCAGCCGCATACCCTTCAGCTGCGTGCAGGACAGAAGCTTGCCACTCCCATCCCAACCCAACCCAACCCATCCCAGCCCAACCCAACCCAACCCATCCCAACCCAACCTCCCATCTTCCCCTCACCTTGGGGACCTTATCAATCATCATCATGGCAGCCCTAACCCCCATGGCCTGGGCGCTCAGCCGCATACCCTTCAGCTGCGTGCAGGACAGAAGCTTGCCACTCCCATCCCAACCCAACCCAACCCAACCCATCCCAACCCAACCTCCCATCTTCCCCTCACCTTGGGGACCTTATCAATCATCATCATGGCAGCCCTAACCCCCATGGCCTGGGCGCTCAGCCGCATACCCTTCAGCTGCGTGCAGGACAGAAGCTTGCCACTCCCATCCCAACCCAACCCAACCCAACCCAGCCCAACCCAACCCAACCCATCCCAACCCAACCTCCCATCTTCCCCTCACCTTGGGGACCTTATCAATCATCATCATGGCAGCCCTAACCCCCATGGCCTGGGCGCTCAGCCGCATACCCTTCAGCTGCGTGCAGGACAGAAGCTTGCCACTCCCATCCCAACCCAACCCAACCCAACCCAGCCCAACCCAACCCAACCCATCCCAACCCAACCTCCCATCTTCCCCTCACCTTGGGGACCTTATCAATCATCATCATGGCAGCCCTAACCCCCATGGCCTGGGCGCTCAGCCGCATACCCTTCAGCTGCATACAGGACAGAAGCTTGCCACTCCCATCCCAACCCAACCCAATCCAACCCAGCCCAACCCAACCCAACCCATCCCAACCCAACCCAACCTCCCATCTTCCCCTCACCTTGGGGACCTTATCAATCATCATCATGGCAGCCCTAACCCCCATGGCCTGGGCGCTCAGCCGCATACCCTTCAGCTGCGTGCAGGACAGAAGCTTGCCACTCCCATCCCAACCCAACCCAACCCAACCCAGCCCAACCCAACCCAACCAATCCCAACCCAACCTCCCATCTTCCCCTCACCTTGGGGACCTTATCAATCATCATCATGGCAGCCCTAACCCCCATGGCCTGGGCGCTCAGCCGCATACCCTTCAGCTGCATACAGGACAGAAGCTTGCCACTCCCATCCCAACCCAACCCAATCCAACCCAGCCCAACCCAACCCAACCCATCCCAACCCAACCTCCCATCTTCCCCTCACCTTGGGGACCTTATCAATCATCATCATGGCAGCCCTAACCCCCATGGCCTGGGCGCTCAGCCGCATACCCTTCAGCTGCGTGCAGGACAGAAGCTTGCCACTCCCATCCCAACCCAACCCAACCCAACCCAGCCCAACCCAACCCAACCCATCCCAACCCAACCTCCCATCTTCCCCTCACCTTGGGGACCTTATCAATCATCATCATGGCAGCCCTAACCCCCATGGCCTGGGCGCTCAGCCG